TCAGTTCTCTCCTAAGTACAATGGAATAATAACAATCATAACAAAGGGCATTATAGATACAGAATTTCTCAGATGGCCAAGAGATATTTACATATAAAACATTTGTGTGGTATTTGGCATATAGCACTCCACCTTATTGTTAGTAAAACCATCAAATAGTATTTGAATAAACATGCTATTGCCACGCATCTAATAACCCATCAATTAAACAGTTTTCATGACTTAAGTCTGTACATTTTATTTTTTTTTTACATTATTATAGTCTGATTCGATTAACAGAAACTGTCAGAGAGTTCAGTTAAAGCACAATTCAAGTACGTGCTTCACTAACAGACACTCAGGGAAAACGTGAGCCTGTCTGCGTCATTTCACACTGCTAATGGTCAGAATGTCATGCCAAACTGTTCTACCTATATTTGTTGTGACTTCTAGTTTTCCTACTCCTATGAGCTAGTCTAGTAAATGCCTTTCAAATCTCTGCTGCCCGTTTCTCTCCCAGGCGACTTCCCTCTCCTCCTCTGACATGGGCCTTCAGCCTCTTGACAGGACACCAAGTCCAAGAAGCTTATTTTCTCCTAGTCCGAGAAGTTAATTTTCCCCTCATCGGAGAAGTGCATTGCCCCCCTAGATCTATGCCAATGCCTTTACTATAAAATCATCACTGTGCTGTACTCTCATAGAAATAAAATGCTTCATCGTTGACATAAATAATGAAAGGCCTGACTAATTGTCTTTTCAGAATGGACAAAAAACCAATAAATAAATTTGGACTTTAATTGTTCTTATCCATCTTCTTTAAGTTCCATCTTTTCATCATCTTCATAAGCTTGTGCCCGGTTAAACTCACACCCTTTTGACCATCGTCAAAGGCCCTAAAGTGTGTAAGCTCAGAAAACCTTGGCTCAAATGTAATTAAGTGTCATTCAAAATGAAAAAAAAAAAAAGGCCCTCCCGTTGATCATCGATTTGCTCGAGCGGGCCCAGTAACGTCTCCACTGGAGACTTTGTTGTTACTGTGTCTGGCATATCAAATGCGTCACGGGGAGCATGCCAGGCTCTGCCGCGCCGGCGAGATGCTCTCGGTACCTTGCTGGGCTCTCTGAGAGGGGCAGAGGAATTGAACTCGGGTCGGCCATGTTGGCTGCGTGCAAGGCAAACGCCCTACCGCTGTGCTATCTCTCCAGCCCTTTCAAAATGATGTGATTTAAATAATATCTTTTATAATGTGAACTAACAGAAATGTTTATGATAATTTATGAGTTATAAATTCTCGTCTCTTTGAAAATTTTTGTCTCTATCTGTGATTGTTAAGTAAAGGATAAAAAAGCTGTTTGAAAGAATAAAATGTGCCTCTGAGTTTGATGAGGCACAAAGAAGAAAAGAACCATGAGCACATTGACTGCACAATTGTGAATAGTGAAATGTGGTTTAACTGCAGGAAGATGCTATGTGAGTAAGAACTTTCTAGAAAGCAATCCTAGTAAATAACAGACATCTAAGGCAGGTTGAGTTTATTGTTCACATCTCCAAGGAATAAAAGTCATAGGAAGAGGACACTTACTTCCTTTACCGTTATTATTTGGTTTTTAGGCTACACCTGGTGATGTATAGGAGTTACTCCTGCATTCAAGAATTACTCCTGGTAGTACTCAGGGGACCATATGGAATGCCAGGTATTGAACCACGGTTGTCTGTGTGCAGGGCAAATGCCGTACTTACTGTTCTATCACTCTGAACCCTTTTATTTCTTTAACAACACACAAAAATAGAAAACCAAAGGATACAATTAAAAATAATCAGGGTCTAGAAGTCAACTTCATTTATTATCTTAGCTGATTTATTTGACTAATATATCTCATTTTTAAAAAGTTTTAGTGTAATTTTAATAAACTCATTAATGAAATAAATCAAGATTATTCTCTGTGAACAAAGCTTCCAATTTATTAAATAGGATTAATTATAAAACTACATCTCTGGCCATTTTAACAATATATTTTGTTAAGCTACTTTTAATTTTAAGAAAGGAATTGTAGGGCTGTAGTGACAATACAGCAAGTAGGGCGCTTGCCTTGCATGCGGTTGACCTGGGTTCGATACACATGAGGAGTGATCCCTAAATGTAGATCCAGGAGTAAGCCCTTTGCACTACTGCATATGATACAAAAGGGAAACCACAACAGCAAAATGGAACAGATAAAATATTAAGGTTGATTCAAGTCCCTTTTTTATTATTTAATACATATGTAATAATTGGCTGAACCCTCTTGGCCATGAATGTGATCATTGTTATAAGTAAAGGAAAAAAGGTGAACAACGGCTGATATTGAGACTAGCAGTAGTAAAGATGGAAAAAATTGAAACCCTCTTTCCAAATCAGATACTTAAAATTCTGATCATTTTAAAGGAACTCTTTTCTTAATCTCCTTCCCCTACAGCATGAATCTGACAGATATAATCATCATGGAAATGTACGAAGTTCAGAATAAAATATAATGATATTCCTAATTTTAGCACCAAACCATCAATACATTATTTGCCATTACCTTAATGAGGATAATTGGAGCCAGTACAGTATTTTGAAATATATTGTATTCTGAGGTCAATAAAATTTCACTCATGGAATTTTTTTAAAAACTATAAATTTTAAGAAAAAAATCAACTTCCCAAAGGAAAAAGATAGAAAAAAATTGATCCAATCACTTAAGTGAATATTTAAGTAACGCTGAAGACCTGATTTTATTAAATGCCAAGAACAACAGTATATGGAAATGCAATAAAATATTCTTAGTGGAAAAAATAGTGGAAGAAAACAACAGTATCTCCACAACGTGGGTGATTCTCATTTAAAAATCCATACATTCATTTCCCATCACATTTATAAACATTTTAATTATTTAATCAAATCAAAGTTAATTTTGGAGAATTAAGTACTACATCTGTGACTTTTGCAATACATTGCCTAAAAATAATGTCAATAAGATTAGATACCAAAAAAAGCATCTTTCCAAATCAGCACACCACTCTAAATTAGGTAGCTAAAGTGAACTGTTGCTGTAGTACAAAGCTCTATTTAGGGACTTGTAGGGTTGCCCATAATGATATGCCTCCCAGATATCGGAAATGACTTCAGACAAACAAAATGAAAACCATTCTCAAATTAACTAGCATAGTGTCCAATTGTATTAATGAACAATATCCTGTGGAATTTAATAAAGCATGATGTAATTTTAATTTAGTTTATCAAAATAATTATTAAAATAATTTTTATTTGAAACACCGAGAGCCCGGCAAGCTACCGAGAGTATTCGATATGCCAGACACAGTAACAACAAAGTCTCCAATGGAGACGTTACTGGGCCCACTCGAGCAAATCGACAATCAACGGGAGGGCCTTTACCTTGAAACACCTTGAAACATCTCAAACCTTATTTACATGTATCACTCCATGGCCGTGTAATTCAGAAGATGATGTTGACACGATATGGTCTAATGTAACTAGTCATTAAGAGTTTTTAAGATACTGATTGAATACAATACGGTACCAAATATTTAACATCCTCCCTTCTCCAGAGGTCTCCAAAGATCATCTCCTATCTCCCAGTCAAACAAACACTACCAAGTTCCAGAATTATTCTATTCCAGTACCTAGAAGTGTTTTCAATTCTGGAATGACTGTCAGGGAGAAATTGGATGCTCTGCCCACATGAACCAGCAGGACTACTCTCTTCTGCCCTGAGTTGTCACTGTCCATACTCAGACTGAGTATTATCACTGAGGAGCCTCATTCCTCACTGAAATATTTTTATTTTTCCATGGAAGCATTGCATATTGAGTACAGGTACACAATTCATTTTATCACTATATTCATTTGAACTGTTTTTTTTAAAAGTAATGATTATTAGTAGATTTCTGGTGCACATGTCTTTTAAGCAGCAAGTCAGCAGAGTTCTGTGAAATTCAGAAGAAGAGGTTTTTTCAGGCCCCAAGACAGGGACAGGATAAGGAAGGGGGAAGTTAATTTTCTTTCATTTGTTGACTGGTACAAAGGGGGAAAAAAGTTTTGATATGCATATTATGCTTGTTTGAGATTATTCATTCAAAAGATTTATAAGTAGATAAAGTAATGTGAAATATGGGTAATTACTTCACCCCCAAATCTTCATACATTACCTGTCAATTAAAGGGCACGAAAGTAAATGTGGTAGTGCATAAGTATTTTAAAACCAAACCAAATAAAAAGTGAGACATTTAAATATACGCAATTTCTGTAAAAGTGTGTATCGGGGTCATAAAAATAATCTTTATTGTAGTTAATATTTTCTGTCTATCAAATGATGGAAATTATGTAGTTGAATTTTTCAATATAGATTTTTCAGAAGTGTGTGATAATTCCATCATTTTTCTAGGATAAATTTTATTTTATTCCCCTTTTATTGACTTTTGCAACATATTTCAGCCTCACTCTGGAACTGAATTCCTAACATGGATGTGTGGGCTTCACCACTGGGTATCTGAAGCCTTCTTGAAGAACCAGGTGGAACTTCACTACAGCAGGCTGGGTGTCAAGAAGACAGAATTCCATGGAATTGGCAGTTGTTTTAACGTGGGTAAGCAGTACAACTGTTTTGTTTCATTTGTTTTGTTTTTAATTCTAAGAATACACCTTCACCATTTAAAAAGTACCCACTCCTAAATCAAACTTTATCAAGGGCATATGGAATTCAATAGCAATTAAATGTGTTATGTAATTTTACTTTGTATTAAACACATCATAATTAGTCAGTTCTCAGGGACTGTATGTGTGGTTGAATAAATGAACGATAAGTGGTGTCTTAGGGGTTATCAAAGGGGTTATGGTTTTGAAGTATTTTAAAGAGGCTTTTCTATGCTTAAAGAATACATTTAATAAAATCTTAGAAATCAAATGAAGAAATCAACGAGAAAGCCTCAACACTGAGAGGGTCTTGTCATCGAATAGGTGGGAAGAACAGAGAAAGGTGTGTACTTGTGGAAGTCAGTTTTTATCACTGTAATAGAAGAAAACATTTCTCTTAACTCAAATTAGGAAATTATTATACATTTTATATATCTTTATATAAAAATTACAAGTAGCAAGCATGTGACACAAAGAAATGAGAGAGTAACAGCAATATTCGAGAATGCATGCTTTTTACAATGTGTCTAATAAAATGGGTAATTTCCAACTTAAATATCCAATACCGACATGCAGGGTATTTTCTCAAACTGTCAATTCAGTCATATTGCTAAGTGCTTAATCCAAAAAGATTTCTATTGAAGGGCGTGGGTTTGTAAGATACCTGATTTCAAAAGATCCGTTCTGAAACTCAGTATCTTTCTTCAAAATAAAACAAAACAAAAAAAAAGGAAATCGAGGGTGTATAGGAGAGACTCAAAAATGAGAAATTTTCTTATTGCAATCTAATAATTTTACTCATAACTTTTGGCTGCATTTAATCATAATACAACAACAGGTGCTTATAGTCCATAAAATCTCTAGCTGGTGTTTCCATGGTCCATAGATCCACTCTCACTGTGGCATGTTCAAAATCACTCAGGAACACACTATTCTCAATCAGTCTATGTAATGAAAACAATGTACATGTAACACAAAGTTCATCCAAATCTGTCTTTTTTTTCCCACATAGCACACAAGGTACAATCATATAACAAAGACATAACGACACTGAAACAAAGTGAAACTGACAAGTAAGTTGGGATAGTCTCAATCAGGAATTAATTTCTTCTTCAAGTTTCCAGTAAATCTCAAATGTATTTAAAAACTAAGGAGCACTTGGTGGCCAGCAACCAAATTACGAAATGAACATATCACTGTGCAGCGGGGATGTCTTGCTGAAGGAATAATAAATGTCTGTAATTCTTAAGTTTGGATAAAGGCAGTGGAATGAATTTAGAAATATGTCCACTTTTCAAATTCACTATAGAATTTTCTTTTCACAGTCCCCATGTTTGTATAAATAGTTCTTCTCTGAAAATAAAACACAGTTAAAACATTTTCTCCCATTGAAAAATGCATACAAATACACCAATTAATCAAGATAATATAGAGCATGGAAAAGCATTCACCTAATTCAAGAATAGTTGATAGGCTTGAAGAGTTTTGAAGAGATTAGCTGTCAAGCAAATTTAAGTGGAGACAAATTAGTCTAATATAGATATAGACTATCAAGTGCTAAAGTAAAGCTATTATGATATTCAACAACAAAACAGATGTTCTCAAGACAACTAGCATTGATGGAACATTTGACAATACCAAGCATTCAAATTTTATGGCATAAAATTTGACACAACATGCTGTGTTTAAATCTGATGAGAGAAGCTACATATTCATGCAAAACTAAGAGTGTACAAACTGGATCACTAGCACCAAAAAGTTTTAACGTAGAATTTTGGAGTAAAATATTGCCAAATTAAAGCAAAAATCGTATCACCCATTTTGTGTACTGACTTTAACCACAATGAGAGCATTCAATATTTTGACTATGAAACCTGAGGTTTCTTCTGGCATTTCTTTGAAGGTATCATTAAATTACTTATGTTTACCCCAAACATGTAAAATTTAGCTTATTAATTTAGCAAACTTTTTAATCCCATGGCACAACAATGCTTGATGGCAAGAACACTAACACATAATTTAAATATAGGTGTGTTATAGACCCCATTGGCATGGAATCCATTATATTCTGACTGGAAAATGCTATTTGATATCTCAGAAACGACAAATTACTATAGTCCCTAACAGAGTTACAAGACAATTGCAACAGAACAGAACAGAACAGAATACAACGAAGTGGGAGAAGGAACCAAGGGCATTTCTTACCTTGTATTTTCTTTCTAGACCCTAGTTGTGTTGTATTCAGATTCATGTTTGCTTAGAGACCCAATGAGGCAGAACCTGGAATGTTACGGCTATTTCACTCAACAGTCATATTTGCAGACAAGTCAAGATTTACATAAAAACATACTACAACATAATCCTAACATTTTATAAGACTGTGCAAATAGATGGTATCCATTAGCATGCAGAAGTATTAAATCAACTAAAAATAATTAAAGTTTAGAGAACGAATAGTGGATTGAAAACGGAAGAACATTCATAGACCAAACTCAAAGGCAGTAAACATGCAAAAAGAAAATTAAAAAAAATTAGTAGATTGGATTTGGGATTTTAAATTAAATTTAGTTTTATGAATTTAAACTGACTTTTCTCAAAATTCTTACTAATTTTAGAGATAGTTAGACTCTATAGATAAGATAGGTAAAAAGATGAATTCAATTTTGTACCAATCTTTGCTCATTTAAATATATATTTAGTACTTCAGCATAACATGCTGTCAGCAAACTATGTGTAATACAAGTAATATATGACAGGTGGAAAAGGTATTTTCATTGTCATACCAAAATAGTATCTGCTGTATTGAAAAATAGGTTATTTTGATATGAAAATTATCTAGCAAGATGGGTTCACCATCTTTTAGTAAGGCATTATTTTCAATGTTATTGCTTACCTTCAATTATAAATCTATTGGTGGGAACAACATTCATGACCCAAGTGCCAGCAATATAGTGATATCAATTTGCAGGATTAACTGACACCAGAACTTGCATAGAAAAAAATATGGCACGTGTGTGGAAATAAATGAAGTTTCTTTGGTCTGGGTGCTCACGCACATAGGCAAGTGGATGGTTTGGGAGGGGGGGAAAGAAAAAAGATAGCAGAAGAAAGGAAAAAGAGGGGTCAGGGGAGACGCTACGCCTTAAATCAGGGCTCAAACGTAACACAAGGACAAAACTCGGACATCCGGGAAGCATCTCAGTCCTCAGGTTAGAGGTGTCATCAAAAAATCGATTGATACTGACCGCTGGACGGATTTGTCGTGTCGGGACAGCCTGTGACTGGTGGTGGGCACCTCCTCGATCTCGTCGATGTCACAGGCGTCTGCAGCATCTTGGGAATAGTTGTGTTTCATGACGAGGATGTTCCTTCTGTTTATGGACGGGATGAGGGGCTTGATGGGCTGTGGGGGCAACTCGGTTAAGACAGAAGCATCCCTTGTGCTGAGGTTACTGCGGCTGCCTTTCGTGCTGGACAGTTGGGATCCACAGTGATGGTCATGAATGCATTTGGAAGAAGACCTCCGCAGTTTATGGTAGCTGTCTAGGTCATCCGCCACCTCGACGAAGTCCGCAGCGGTGCCCGTGCCCCGGAGAGTACATAACTCATAGTGCGGAGGCTCCAACACCTCCTGGAAAACTGTCTGATCAAAGTCTGATTTCCTTTGGACATATTTTTTACGAGGCTGTTTGATCTGCACAATGACAGAAATGATAATAAGGATGATGACAATGCAGGAAGTCACGCCAATGACAGTCCCACTGGTGTTGGTGAGCTGGTCCAGCAGGCTGCTTTTCCGCTTCTCTACAGGTGCAGGAGAGTGAGGGCGAGAAACAGACAAGACAGAGAACAATCCACCACGCATTAATATTGGAGGCAGAGCAGACGCGAGCACCCTAAGATGAGAACTGTCAGAGCAGGGGGTTTCTTGGGTCTTACTGTCATGCCCACATTCTGTCTGCTTCCCGTTTCATGAGGTCCCCGTCCACTAGCCCTAAACAGAACCTGCTCCCCGCACCATGTGCCCTGGTCCCGGTGGCAGCCCTAACTCTTCCTCACATGGATGCTGGGAGATGGCCTGAAAAGAACTTCAGTGGGACATTTGGGAGTGAACTGGTTAGAACCATGATGCTTTTGCTTATTTTAGGTGTGAGAAAAGCTCCCGACTCCACAATGGAGGAGAGGAGGATACCTTCATTACCTTGACTTGATTTATTACATGGATTTGTGAAGCCAGTGCAACCAAAGTATCTTGATTACAGACGGTAAGAAGGGGCAGACGAGGTAACAGAGTGGGGAGGGCACAAGCCTGGCATGCAGTGACCTGGGTTCAATCAACCCAGCACCACGCGGGGGAGCTGGAGTGATAGCACAGCAGGGTGGGCATTTGCAGGCCTTGGTTCGATTCCCAGCATCCCATATGGTCCCCCAAGCATCCTCAGGAGTAATTCCTGAGTGCAGAGCCAGGAGTAACCCTTGAGCATCGCCGGGTGGGACACCGCCCCCCCCCAAAAAAAAACAGTGCCACACAGGGTCCCCCGTGTTCTGCCAGGTTTAACACACAGCTATGGAAATGCGCTTGTTTTTGAAATTCTTCATCTTTTTTTAGTAAAAAACTCAGTCTTTGAGTCCTCTGAGCTCCCGAGAAGAAGGAGTTAAGCCAGGGGGTACAGACCACACTGACTTCCTCTCTCGAAAGCTGAGTCGGGACTGGGGGGAGGGGGCACAAGTCACCAGCATTTTCCCAACTCCCGGGATCCTGATCGCAAACCCCATGTTGGAGGCAGGGGCGGCTCTGACTTTGGGAACTCTGAAGGTCCCAGCGTCCGCTATTAGCAACAGAAACTGGATTCCAGGCTCAGCAGGCAAAGCACAGACCAGAGAGCACTTTCCAGCTCACTCCAAGTGGACTCAGGGACAAACCGAGAAAACAAAAGGTTTCGCCCCGTCCAACTGCCATTTTTCTTCAATGCCCCCTTTGAAGTGACCGGCCTTTGTTGCCATTGACGCTATCAACCTCAGCATCAATGCAGAAGTTTGTCCATGACATTTTTACGAAACAGCCCTGCAGGCTTGACTCTTAGAAAGTTATTTTAGTATAATACCTAGACTGAAGTTTATTTGAAATAGGACATTAAATAGTAAGAAAAAGGTTCAAACAAGAAATCTCAAAGCAGACAGAAAGTGTATGGTACGCACTTAAGCTGAGGTTATTAGTACCACAGCAGCAACAGGCCAACCTTTATAGTACTTTTTTGCACACGGCTGGCCTGGCTGACCCAGGTTCGATTCCTCCGCCCCTCTCGGAGAGCCCAGCAAGCTACCGAGAATATCTCACCCACACAGCAAAGCCTGGCAAGCTACCCATGATGTATTTGATATGCCAAACACAGTAACAATGATCTCACAATGGAGATGTTACTGGGCCCGCTTGAGCAAATCGATGATCAATGGGAGGACAGTGACAGTGCCAGTGACAATTTTCACATAAGAAATCAGGAAATTGGCAGCTTCTGAAAGTCTTCCTACCTCAGACAAGTAACTAAGGTAGACTCAAAGACTCCTTGGACAGAGATTAAATTTAGTTGGTGCAGCACGTGGAAGAATTTATGCTCCTGGCCATTGCCACAAATAATAAGCAATAACCTGAAAATTCTTGGGAGTTAAGATCTAAGTGTGAGGCCAAGAGGGATGGGCAGATAAGCCATGAGAACAGGAGAGAGACGGGGTTCTTGATGAAACGTGGTCCTGGGCTCACGGTGTTCAGGAGCAACAGCACAGACAGACCCACAGAAGCTGTCAGGCCCAGTCAAGTCCACATCTAGAGAAAAGTCAATAACTGCATAAAGTCTTGGGGAGGGATGATGTATTCATTAACATAGAATGTTTGTAAAATACCACAATAAATATATAAAGGCCCTCCCGTTGATCGTCGATTTGCTCGAGCGGGCCCAGTAACGTCTCCATTGGAGACTTTGTTGTTACTGTGTTTGGCATATCAAATACTCTCGGTAGCTTGCCGGGCTCTCCGAGAGGGGCGGAGGAATCGAACTCGGGTCAGCCATGTTGGCCGCTTGTAAGGCGAACGCCCTACCCACTGTGCTATCGCTCCAGCCCAATTCTCTGCATGCTGTGGATTTATAAAAAAAACAAAATTGCAATTTAGACAAGCACATCAGCATCCCCTAAAATGCACAGGAAGTGCTAAGAGAGGGCAAGGTATCAGATGGAGAAGTAGACAGAAAAACTTCAAACCAGGGTCTTCTTCCCCTCCCAGGTCAGTCAAGCTGCCAGTACTTGAACCCAGGAACTGGTTTTCTTCAAACAAGCGCCCTGGGCACCCTCTAGGCCCTGGGTCTCCCACCAGCCCTGAGCCTCTTCCTTTTCATCCCCAACACTGTGCCTGTCTTTTTCCCCTCCCAGCTGGCACCCCCCCCAACACACCAGGTAGCTGTGGGGCGTGGCCTCTTCAGAAGTGGGTGTGGCTTCTGTAGAAGTGGGTGTGGACTATTTTTAGGCGGGCCAACACTCACGCAGCTGCAGGTAGCTTAATCATTCCAAGAAATCTAGTGTATCATCTCAGTCCCCATACCTCCACAGCAACTTGAAGAAACAACACAAATCCCCACTACGTGGGGAGGATGTTGAAGAGTCCAGCAGCCTCAGTAAAAGGCCTCTCTGAGAAAGAATTCAGATACGAAGTAATGAAGATGTTCAATGGACTCAATAAAACAGTCAGACAGATATCCAGTAACATGACAGAAACAATCAAGAAATTACGGAAAGAAATGAGACCAGAAATTGAAAAGCTACACACAGAATTGTCACGAATAAAAGATTCCATAGATGAAATAAAAAACTCAGTCTGTGCACTCAACAGTAGAATGGTCACAGCTGAAGACAGAATTAGTGAGCTGGAAGATCAACAGCACCAAGCTAACAGGCAACAACAAACAATGGCAAGAGACCTCAAAATTGCTCGAGAGCAAATCAGAGTCCTAGGAGATGATGCCAAGAGGAACAACATTAGAATCATTGGAGTACCAAAAGTTCAGAGAAACAATCCCAGTGAAAAAGCCACGGTCAAACAAATCATTGCTGAAAAATCCCCAGAGCTCGATAATGCAGCCATTCAGATTCAAGGAACCCGAAGGGTACCAGCTAAAACAGACCCTAACAAAAACACTCCAAGACATATTATAGTTAGAATGATGGATGCTGCCAATAGAGACACAATACTGCAAGCAGCAAGATCAAAAAGGAAATCACATACAAAGGAGCATCCCTTAGATTCACACCAGACCTATCAGAGGAAACCCTCCAAGTCCGAAGGCAATGGTGGGATATAGCAAAAAAAAAAAAACTCACCGAAATGAATGCTTCACCAAGAATACTCTATTCGGCTAAACTCTCACTCAAACTCAGAGGAATGGTACACTATTTTCTAGATAAACAGCAGCTCAGGAACTTCATAGACTCAAAACCAAACCTATAAGAAGGGCTAAAAGAGATACTGTAAGACTAGACAAACCCTACAAGCACATCAGACCCTTACAGAAAGATGACACAAAACCCCATAACAATAATCCCTGTCAACATCAATGGTCTAATTTCATCAATTAAGAGACACAGAGTGGCAAAATGGATTCAGAGACAGAACCCAATATTCTGCTGCCTACAAGAACCTCATCTGAACAGTCAGAGTAAACACAGACTCAAAATTAAAGGATGGAAAACAATCCTGCAAGGAAACGGGTCCCTCAAAAAAGCTGGGGTGGCTATATTAGTATCCGACAACATAACTTTCAGGTTGAAAAAAATGAGAAGGGACAGTGAAGACCATTTTCTATTCATCAAGTGATATATACAACAAGAGGAAATCACACTCTTAAATACATACACACCTAATGAGGGAACAACTAGATATTTAAAACAACTGCTAACAGATTTTAAAGAGGACATTGCTAGCAATACAATAGTAGCCAGACACTTCAACATTGCCTTATCACCTCTTGATAGATCAAGAACAAAATTCAGCAAGGAAACATTGGCTTTGAAAGGGGATTTCATCATTTTCATTTCATCATCCTGTTATTCGTCGATTGCCTCGAGCAGGCCCCAGTAACGTCTCTTTCATCCTAGCCCTGAGATTATATTCAAGGCTATTTAGGAGAATGAGACCCATCATTGTTACTGGTATTTGGCATATTTGGTATGCCACGGGGAGTTTGCCAGACTCTGCCCTGTGGGCAGGCTACATTCGATAGCCTGCAAGTTTGTCCAAAGTAGGAATGAGACAATAAGATGTCATAAAAAAAAGTTCTGATAAGATGTCAGGATCTGGATTTTATAGTCTCTGAGTCTTGGCCGCTGATGGGATTACACGGCGCCAGGGGGCCAGGTGGTGGGTGTGACCCCCGCCTACTGGAATTTGGAGGATCTGGGTGGAAGATGCTCGACTCCAATTCGAGTAGGCTTGGAGGTCTCGGCCCCGGAACCCATGTGGCTTTGTCCCTCTGCCAGTACCTTCATGTGTGCAGAGAGTGGTCTCAGCATGGTGGTGGCTGGTCCTGGAGGTCTTCGGCTGCGGGAGCCCTGGTCAGGGCGGGGAGGAAAGCTCAACCCGCTCCCCTCCAAGGGGCTCCGGGAAGGAACACCCAGGTGCGGGGGCAGAAGACTGGGGGATATCACAAGAGAAACCAAAGAAATTCAAAAGTTCATCAGAGACTACTCTGAAAGTCTGTATGCAATGAAACAAGAGAACCTGGAAGAAATGGATAAATTCCTGGATTCCTATAATCTCC